AAAGGTGAGCTGTGACAAGGCAGGGATTAGTGATACAGTGCTTCTCGTGTTCCTTCTGGAATATATACGCCATAGTCTGATAGACCAGCCACTGGAGATACAGTCAGCAGTTTCTTTTACTTATTGCCTCTTATATATTGTATTGGGGGGCAGAGGAAAAACGAAATGGGTTGGGTGATAGTGGTGAGGAGGAAATAAGGCAGGCTCTAAGGGGAATGCCCCTTCCAAACTTGGGAGTTGTACATACTTGGGATGAGATTGTTAAAGACAGTGTTTTCCTCAATGATAATAAGGACGTGATGACCTCAGCTGCAGGAAATTTGTGGTGAATAGGCTGATATGCCTACACATTGACCCCTGGATTTTAGGTGTAAAAGAGAGGGTTGGGTGGCAACCAATTGGTTCCTGGGAAGTGATGCACAAAGACATATTTCCTGATGCCTGATCTTCTCTGATCCCTGAAAGTAGGAGCAATGGTAGCAGTGATGCCTCAGCACTGCTTTTAGGTGTTTTTTATAGCATGTTGTACAGGACAAGCTGCAGCAACCACATCATTACTGACTACATTGGATTCCGGGCTGAGTGTGGACACTCTTCACTCTTAGAAGTTAGGACCACATAGAATATTGGGTGCCCAGGCTGGACTGCTGGGCCATGCATTGCCCTGCAATTGCCTGAGAGAACTTTCAGCGCAGCAGGTTTTGTTACAGAGAGGCAAAGTCACCATTCCCCTTGAGAGTGTGAATTTACTAAATTTCTAATGTTTGCTGAGGCTCTTTTCTCTTGAACAATAAGCTAAAATTGTATTTAAAAAAAAAAATCTGCCTGTGCTCATCCAGACTGCTTAAATACCACCCAGCAGCTGTGCAGTATTCATGGCTATTGTCTCAAAATAGTATACTATAATGTTTATATCAAGATAAAACTTGTCTCGTTTCTCCCTAATACATTGTGATCTTACCTAACCAAGCAGCTTACAAACTGTCTAGCCACTGTACAATATTTGTGGCTATTGTCTCTCAAATAATACTTTCTAACATTTAATTCCAGATAAAACCTGCCTCCTCTCTAGCTCTTATATTGCAGCCTAACCAAGCTGCTTATATACTGTCCGGCCACTGAACGGTATTCGTGGCTATTGTCTTACTGTTTAATACACTCTGTAAGATGAAACCTGCCTTTTCGCTTTCTGTTTGCTGACTTTCCAATCTCTGACATTATCCTGAGACTTGCCATTTTCTACCAAATACATACCTGAAGCCTACATTTTGAATTGCTTTGGGAATAACTGTGCATATGGGGATTCGAAGAGGTTGAGGGAATGTGGGGTTTATGCACTGCATTTTTACATTTTATTTAACTTTAAGACAATGCAGTGAGGTACTACAAAAAAAACTCACAAAACATACTATCAAACTGTTGTGCTTTTAACCAATTTGTACAAAGTTGTGGGGTTTAGCTTTATTTTATAATTTTAAGAGTACACCTTCTTTTCCTTTTAGATTTGTAGTGGTTGCTACTTCTACTATTCATTTCAATCATAGGTTGCTCTTTTTTCGTATATAACTAACCTTTACATACTACATGTACTTATTTTATTAGTCTAAATTCAAAATGTATTTTTTTTTAATTTAGTAGATTATTTTTGTGTTGGTTTGTGTTATTTATACTTTTATGAGCTGCTAACATCTTAAAAAAGCATTATATTCCACTCACTCTGCAATAAATAAAAGTGCTTCACTGGAAACAGAAATAATTGTGCTCTAATTGATTGCTACACATGTTCTTTGCTGTTAGGTGTGAACTTTCTCCTTCCAAAGTAAGCATTAACAAACTGACTGGAAATGTGTAAAAATTCACAGTATTTCACCTTTTTCAATAAAATGTGCTATTTTTAAAAGTTCTTAGAACATGTCATAACTAAAGCAAAGTGAATATTGTGTACTTTTTAATAAAAAGTCAAATCAATCTTATTTAGTTACTTTCTAGTCAGCAGTTAAAAATTTCCAATGATTGTTTAAAGTTATAGCATTCCAAAAGGGTATTGCTTTGTCCAATATGAGCTTGATTTTGAGAAATCTGCATGTGGCTGTTTTTACAAAGGTAAACTACAGAGGTTGATCACAGTAGCATTACTTTTGTCACAAGACTAATTCTTAGTATAATTATTTACTTTACCCACGCAGGGCAAGGCAAAAGATGTATTTCAGAGACCCTGCCACCCGACCAATAATTTCAGCAACAATATTCCTGTAAGATTCTGGATGCATTTAAATTGGAACTTCACTCTCTCAAACATTGACTATTCTTAATCATTATGTTGCTATCATTAGTAAATAGATAGGAAAGTATATCGCATTTACTTTTTTAAACTTTTTTTTACAATTGTTTGGTTACTTCCTGGTTTCCAGGCCTAGGCAAATGATGTCATACATCCCAGGAGTCTTCAGAAGGTGAGGAGAAGTTTTCTCAGCAAAGCACACCATCCTGCTTGTGTGACTGAGCTAAGGGCAGATGGATTCTAGGAAGTAAATGCTACATAAATCATCTGCCCTTACTCAAATGTCCACGGCCAGAAATGCTAGGGGGTGTTTTTCAGTAGTAGTAAAGTGACATGGATGGATAGGTGAGTTTGCTTAGAATAGTACACCCCATTGCTGCCCAAACCAATTTTCAGCTTTCAGCACTGTAACACTTTGAATGTTGATTGCGCGGTCATGCAACACTGTACCCATTCAATTTTTACCATTTTTCACACAAATAGAGCTTTCTTTTGGAGGTGTTTGATCACCACTGGGTTTAAACGAAAAAAGACAGAACATTTTGAAAAAAAAAATGTGCTTCTCTTCGTTTCTCTTATAAAATGTAGCAACTTTAGACCAAGCTGTATTCTGCTACATTTCTTTGGTGAAAATAATCCAAATCAGTGTATATTATTTAATCAGTAGGAAAGTTATTGAGTCCATAAACTATGGTATATAAATATCTGAAAATGTACTGATGACCTATCTTATTTCTTGAGGCCTAGAAATGCCAAGACTGTACAAATATTCCCCAAATGTCCCCTTTTGGAAAGTAGACAGTCCAAGGAATTTAGTAAGAGGCATAACAAGTTTTGAAGTTGTAATTTTTTCTTTTTTTTTTTTCCTCATGCACACTTGACGTTTTTACAGCTGCTGTTTTTTGCTTTTGACGTTTTTTCTACAGCCAGTAAACCCCCCAGCATGTTATCCTATGTGTTCACAAGAGTACTGTAATCAAGGTTTTTTTTGGCTGGAATGTTTTTTGGCTGGAAAAAATACCCAGGACTAGTGGGTTTCTAGAGGAGTTTTTTAGCTGTTAAAATGCTCTAACGCTGAAAAACGTGGTAAAATTTTTTTTTTTTTTTTTAAATGCTAAAAAAACGCAAACGCAGAAAAATGTGGAAAAACACTGCTAATTGTGGGAAATACAGTTAAACGCTAATGCAAAAACAGTAAAAAAAAGCTGAAAACATCATGTTTTTAACATGACTTTACACAGCAAACGTTACCAGCATTATATAAAAACGTCCAGTGTGCATGGAGCCTAAAGGTAGAAAGTATTACACATGCATAAACTAGCATGCAATTAGTGTAGAGCAACCTCCAGAGGGGCCACTGATTTTTTTCTATGCACACCCTGAAGATGACACATCTCGCTTACCCAGAACTTACCAACACACCTTGAGATATTTCAAATAATTTATTAGGCCAAATATAGCCTTAGAGAAGCGAGGATTAGCAAGTGTATGTATACAGACAATCAATAACACAATAATGCTACTCTGAGAGGTATGCTTAAACACATGCAGTATTCTGACTAACAATTAATAAAAGAACTTAACTAAATTTGCCTAGCAACAGTATATAAAGACAGTTCTAACTTGCTATAAGTGTTCCAGTTTTATCTCACTGATCAATGATTGATGAAAAAAAAAAAATATTGGCTGACAAAGTTGGGACCCTTGAAGAAAGCACACCATTTCTCAATAGACAACAGATTAACTTGTGCAATGCTAGTCTCTTACAAGATCCATGGTGCCAGCTTCTGGGTCTCTGGATGTGTTCTCTGGTTCAGTGTAGGTCCTCAGACAGGGATAGGAATCACTGTGATGTCTCTCTCTTTCAATCCTGCTGAGATAATTATTTATTTTCTTCCTCACAAGAATTAGAAGTGGTGCACAGTCTGATCCCACCAGGTGCTCAAATAACACTTCACACCCTCCCATGGGGAAGGTTCTCAGCCTCTTTGCTTCTCACCTGATTGTGGTCAGCTATGGCAGAGATTCATTCAGCCAGCAGCAGCAGCTTAGTCTTTTTTCCACACACCTGCTTGCTTCCAGACAGTCAGCCTGCAGACACTTCTACTCATTCTGTTGCATCAGCCAATCCACCTTCAGGATCAAATCATACCCAGTCAAGATGGCTGCCCCCTGCACTGGAGTGGTATCCTTAAAAATGGCTGCTGCACTTTCTGTATTAAAAAATATTCAGTTTAACCATGTCCACACTGCAAAAGGAAAACACAGCAGCAACAAAGGAAGAAATTCCACCGCAGTTATCAGCCACAGTCCAGGTTTCATTAGTAAATATATACAGAGGGCACTTTTACCCCCTTCCTGCCCACGCCAATTTATAGCTTTCAGGGCTGTTGCACTTTGAATGACAATTGTGCGGCAATGCAACACTGTACCGAAACAAAATGTTTATCATTTTTTGAGACAGACAGAGCTTTCTTTTGGTGGTATTTAATCACCACTGGATGTTTTAATTTTTTGTTAAACAAACTAAAAAAGACTGAAAATTTTGAAAGTAAAAAAGATTTTTTTCTTAGTTTCTGTTGTAAAATTTCATAAAATAAGTCATTTGTCTTCTTCACTGATGTGCACTAATGAGGCTGCAGTGATGGACACTGATAGGCTGCACTGATGGGCACTGATAGGCGGCACTGATGAGAAGGCACTGATGGGCATTGGCAGGCATCACTTGTGGGCATTGACAGGCATCACTGATGGGCACTGATAGGCGGCACTGACTGGCACTGATAGGCATAACTGATTGGGACTGTTAGGCGGCACTGATTGGAACTGTTAGGTAGCACTGACGAGCACTGATAGGTGGCACTGACTGGCACTGATAGGTGGCACTGATTGGCAGCACTGATAGGCAACACTGACTGGCACTGACAGTTGGCATTGATGTGCACTGGTAATCACTGATATGTGGCATTGATGTGCACTGATGGGCACTGGTATTGACATTGATGGGTACTGACAGGTGGCATTGATGGGCACTGACAGGTGGCATTGATGGGGCTACACTGATCATCAGTGCCCCGATGATCAGTGTAGATGTCCCCTCTGAGGAATTGCTTACTGGCTCTCCTCTCCTCACGTGCTGTCAGTGTCAGGAGAGGACTGCTAATAACCAGCATTTCCTTGTTTACATGCGATCAGCTGTGATTGGACACAGCTGATCACATGACAGAGCCGATGTCATTGGCTCTTTACTGTGATTGGTGATCCGCTGTGTGCGCAGTTAGAGTGGGAGGACGTCATATGATGATCTCCCAGAAAGAGAAAACCGCTGCCCACCCTTCATTTCCTTACATGGTGGGCGGAAAGTGGTTAAATAAAAGTGTCTGCTATATTTCATAATTTAAAGTGGAGCTCCATCCAAAAGGGGAAGTTCCGCTTTAAGCCTTTGTTATGGATTGGCACCTTTGTGGGGCATTTGGTACAGGTACCCGAATTTGACAGGTACCCACTCCCACTTCCACTGAGAACGCCTAAGGCTGTCAGAAGTGGAAGTTGTCCTCTCCCCTCCCTCCCCCTAGTCTTCTGGGACATGTGACAGGTCACAGAAGACTATGGGACCATTCAAAGTGCAGCGCTACTCGCACATGTGCAGTCAGCACCCGGCTGTAAAGCCACAAGCTGTCACAGCCGGGTGCCCACACTGAAGATGCTGGTGCTGGGGAGAGCAGACAACCGGTGAAATCAGCCATGGCAAGGACACCGCTGGATCGTGGGACAGGTAAGTGGCTGTATGTTAAAAGTCAGCAGCTACCGTTTTTGCAGCTGCTGACATTTTTTTTTTTTTAAATCAACTGGAACTCCGCGCTTTAAGTATATTCAGGAGTCAATGGATAAGACTAACTTCTCTGCTATACTATACAGTAATCAAGTGTTTCATTTTTTGCATCTATCATTGAGCCCTAATGCTTAATTTACAATAAAGTGTATGCATATCTGATAGTGATATTAAACAATTCCTACTCTAATTCTAATAGTTTGTAACACACTTTGTACTTTGCTTCTTTTTTATTGTCAATGGCTCTAGCATTTTAAGTTTTTCCCAGTGAAAGATGAGTAAAATATTTGTTTTGAAATGTAGTAGTTTGTGTTTTCTACACACAGAAATTATATGTTTTTCCTAGAAAATAATATGGCAATCGTGTTTAACCAATATGCTATTTAGTACCGTGGTTTACCACTTCCACCGGATACCAGCTAGTTTCTCTAAACAGAAACATACACATTTACAATCTGGGACAGGGCTGCTAGCAAACATTGCAGTCTTATCACACAACAGGATCTGAAACGTTACAAAAAAACAGAAGAACAATACATAAATCTACATTTACCTCAATCAATTTATTGAGATATTGAGTTAGAGATGTAGAGTAGGTCAGCTAAATTTTTATCTTAAAACTCAGCTCATGTATTCTTACTAGATATACTGTATTACAAATTGCTGGTCTGAGTCTGTATATAAGAACCCTTAACAAGTGTTCTACTTTGGTCGCTGTTTCCCCCCAAAATGTCTAGCAGAGGGCCACAAACTAGTCACCTGTATTGCTACTAGGCTCCTTGCATATTAACTTTTTCCCAGGACTGACCTTACTTGTTTGTTACTGTATGTTTATATGGCTTTAGCCATCTTAGTAAAAGAGCAAGGCTTTGTTTGCTCATGTCAGACCTACCCCTCTACAGGCTGGTGATTAAGACTGGTAAACTATAGACTACTGCGAGGAATGATAAAAAAAACAACAGGAGAGGTGAAGAAAGCTGACCGACAATACAAAACAAAATTCTCCTGTGTATAAGTCTTGGTTTAGTGTAGAAGCAAGTATTCACACATGGTCTTGTTGCCCTCAAGGACTGGGGACATCCCGTAGTCACTACAACAGAAAAGGGAGAAAGAGGGTGCACCGACCTAGTGCATTATCTTCATTATAAAATAAATAGAGTTACTACTCACAAGCATAAAAGATAAAAGCATACTTCGAGCCACACATCCTTAGCTGGATACAACAGTCTTGCAGACCTAAATGGGATCTTACCAGGGTCCCTGAAGTTTGACGCTTTTCAAAGGATGTCCTTCTTCCTCAGAGGCTCTGAGGAAGAAGGACATCCTTCAAAATGCATTAGCCTTCAGGGACCCCGGTGAGGTCCCCCTAGGGCTGAAAGATTATTGTATCCAGTCACGGATGTGTGGCTCGAAGTGTGCTTAGCTCTTTTACGCTTGTGAGTAGTAACTCTACTTATTTTATAATAAAGATTCTTAAAAAAATGCACTACGTTGGTGCTCCCCCTTTCTCCCTTTTCTTGTTGAGTTGAAGAAAGCATAGATCTTCAAGAGGAACATAGTAGGAGAAAAGAGATCCTTGCAACAGAAGGTCTTCTGGTGCAGCATACTTTCCAGCAGGTCATCAGACAATATAAACCATAATTTTGATACCACCAACCAGGGGCAAACTGACAACTCATGGGGCCCACGGGCAATAGGGGATCATGGGGCCCCTGTGTCCTTGCCCAAACTCAAAATATCCTATGAAAAAGGTACCAGGGGCATATCATGGGGCCCCCTACTGACCCCGGACCCTCGGGCAGTGCCCAAGTTTCCAAATGACCAGTCCGACCCTGCCACCAACTGATACTAATGTGCTTAGACACTCCACATTTTGTGAAAATAGCAGTCATCAGGAATGGGTGATACCTGCCTTAGATGAGTTCCTACTGCAGACACAGGAGTACCTAGTTACAGCCACATGACAGATGCACAAAAACTTCTCATTTGAATTTATCATGGCACTACATAGCCCCAATTAACATTACAAAATGTTTCCTATAAGACAACTAATCTTCACTTTAGAGGTATAGCTGCAATATAAATAGGCCTTGCCATTTCTCTTGCTATCCCATGTAACGGTTCTTGTGTGTAGACACTGCTCTTGATTACCCCCTTTCTCGGGAACTCTCTAGATAGCAGCTGTGAAAACTTAGAATGGAAATCAAATTTTAAGACTGGGTTCACACTGTTGCGTTACAATATGAAAACAAGTTGGTGAACTGTGATGCCATTTACTTCTAATTTCCCCCTGAATCATCTTGCTAACACACAACAATATATGGTAATACACTACCACGCACTACCTTTTTTGGTGACTTTTGGTGTGTTAGGTAGGCCACTCAAATAAATAGGCTGCTTTAGTACGAAATTCATGCGTTAACACTCTGAAACAATGTAAATACAGCCTTAAAAGTAAAGTTAGAGTATACACAGTCTATCTGAACATAATGACATAAGACTTCCTTTTTTTCTGATTGTAACCATTTGAAAAAAAAAAAGTAAAATATATAATTCCAGGCAACGAGAAAGGAGAAATGAAGGAGGTTAAAGTGAAAGTAAAAGTAAATACAGTACACTTTCACACAGAGGTTTCACAGCCACTATCTAAGGGTTGATAGAGAGCTGTGATGTGTGTGAGAGACAGCAATAACTAGCTTGCAACAGCCTCTTTTCACAGGTACTGCTATAAGGATTGGCAATAGGATTGACATGGTTGACAAACTCTGATCATTTAAAAAAGTGATACGCATTCTTTGTAATGATAGAACAAACCAAATACAACCTCAATCAGTCAGCATGTACTAAAATTTTATGAGCAAATGGGTTCACGGCTACCCTAAGTGTTTATGCTTTATTATTACTGTAGCACCCTCTTAGTCAAGTTGCTAAGAAATAGGTAAATTTTGTTTTTGGCTGGGTGGTAGTTTGATTTCATGTAGGTACACATTTGGCTTCTCCCTAAGCTCAGAAGGTTGGTGGTTCTCACTGTTACCAATACGGGTCATCACTCCACTGGCCATAGTTAGAGGATTTCTTCCTAGCTGAGTTATGAATATTTATTCCTCCTGGTCATCCCAGTAGGAGATTCAAACCACTGGGGTATGATTGGGGAAAGTATAAATATTTGGTAAAGCCATGTACTAGCTCTCTTGCCTCAGGCTGACACCTAAGGAGCTGCTGCTGGACTGTTCATGCTGCTATGCCCAGAAGCCTCCCAGGAGCCTAGCCTACCTTTTGGAACACAAGCCTACACATCTGGCCTAGGAGCTTCACCAGCTGGGAAACTGTATCTCTGAAAGTTGTGCCACTGCTCCATTTGCTGTTCATTAAAGGTCCTGGCTGTGGCAGAGCCTAGGAGCTCTTACTTCACTGGACGGCATCAAGAAGCTAAGTCTGGGCAGCTAATTCTTGGTCTTGTGAGTAAGAGAATGTTGGCTGATGCAGGTCACCTTGTTCCTGCAAGGAGATAAGAGCCAATGTAGTGTTATGGGGCAAATAATGCTTAACTACCCCTAATCTGGCCATTCTCTTCCAGTCTCAGGGCAAGTCTGTGTGTTGGCAGCCTCTGCACAATCAGGAGAAGAACTCTAATTATCATCTTCATCCATGTGACTGTACTTAATCATGTTTCAGCATTATTCATTTATTTATTTCAGGTACTTATATAGCGCCATCAATTTACGCAGCACTTTTACATATACAGTCAGGTCCATAAATATTGGGACATCGACACATTTCTAACATTTTTGGGTCTATATACCACCACAATGGATTTGAAATGAAACAAACAAGATGTGCTTTAACTGCAGACTGTCAGCTTTAATTTGAGGGTATTTACATCCAAATCAGGTGAACCGTGTAGGAATGACAACAATTTGCATATGTGACTCCCACTTGTTAAGGGACCAAAAGTAATGGGACAGAATAATAATCATAAATCAAACTTTCACTTTTTAATACTTGGTTGCAAATCCTTTGCAGTCAATTACAGCCTGAAGTCTGGAACGCATAGACATCACCAGACGCTGGGTTTCATCCCTGGTGATGCTCTGCCAGGCCTCTACTGCAACTCTCTTCAGTTCCTGCTTGTTCTTGGGGCATTTTCCCTTCAGTTTTGTCTTCAGCAAGTGAAATGCATGCTCAATCGGATTCAGGTCAGGTGATTGACTTGGCCATTGCATAACATTCCACTTCTTTCCCTTAAAAAACTCTTTGGTTGCTTTTGCAGTCTGCTTTGGGTCATTGTCCATCTGCACTGTGAAGCTGCGTCCAATGAGTTCTGAAGCATTTGGCTGAATATGAGCAGATAATATTGCCCGAAACACTTCAGAATTCATCCTGCTGCTTTTGTCAGCAGTCACATTATCAATAAATACAAGAGAACCAGTTCCATTGGCAGCCATACATGCCCACGCCAT